GTATTCTTGCAATTGACGAGTCAAATGCAACCTGTGGGAAGAGGTTGGCATCAATTGGGTTGGACAACACTGAGGCAAACAGACAGGCTTACAGACAACTTTTGCTGACTACACCCAGTCTTGGTGAGTATATTTCTGGTGCCATTCTTTTTGAGGAAACACTTTACCAATCGACTACAGATGGAAAGAAGTTCGTGGACTGCTTGCGTGAAGAGAACATTGTGCCCGGTATTAAAGTTGACAAGGTGTGTTTTGGATGGAATATACAAGATTTTAACTTGAGAAATAATTTTGTATAGTTTCTCGATTGAAGATTTCTCTTTTGTTTGTACTGTGGGTATTTATCGAGTTCTCTACTTTCTGTTTTTCAGGGTTTGGTTCCCCTACCGGGATCAAACAATGAATCTTGGTGCCAAGGCTTGGATGGATTGGCATCAAGATCTGCTGAATACTACAAGCAAGGTGCTCGATTTGCCAAGTGGTAAGTCATTTATAATCTCTATCAGTTTCTGCCTTGTAAAGTTTACATGGAATTTTGTGTCAGTTAGCAGTTTATTTGTTGATTTACTTTTTCAAATTTCTGTGTCATGGCTTCTGATTGTATGGAAATATACAGGAGGACAGTTGTTAGCATCCCATGTGGTCCTTCTGCTCTGGCTGTTAAGGAAGCTGCATGGGGACTTGCACGATATGCCGCCATTTCTCAGGTATACTTAAATCTTAAGGCCTTTCATTTTTCTTTTCCTTGTTGGATTATTTATTAGAGTAACTTAAAAATACTTTTATGTTTTCTTTATTTGATTTTATTTAGGATAATGGTCTTGTGCCAATAGTGGAACCTGAGATTCTTCTTGACGGAGACCACCCAATTGAGAGGACCCTTGAAGTGGCAGAGAACGTATGGTCAGAAGTCTTTTTCTACTTGGCCCAAAACAATGTCGTTTTTGAGGGAATCCTCCTTAAGCCCAGCATGGTTACACCAGGCGCCGAACATAAGGAGAAGGCTTCTCCAGAGACCATTGCTAAATATACATTAACAATGCTCAAGAGAAGAGTCCCCCCAGCAGTTCCAGGAATCATGGTATAAACATCTCAAAACCTTAATCAATTCTCTCTCACTGAAGTGTTATTCGCAAGACCTGACTGATAACCCTTTTTTGTTATGTTTAATTCTCAGTTTTTGTCCGGAGGACAATCTGAAGCAGAAGCAACACTGAACTTGAATGCAATGAACCAAGCCCCCAACCCATGGCACGTGTCCTTCTCATACGCACGAGCACTGCAGAACACTGTCCTTAAGACATGGCAAGGTCGTCCCGAGAACATTGAAGCTGCCCAGAAGGCACTCTTGGTTCGTGCAAAGGCAAACTCCCTGGCGCAACTCGGAAAGTACTCCGCTGCTGGTGAAAGCGATGAAGCCAAGAAAGGAATGTTCGTCAAGGGCTATACCTACTAAGCAGCCAAAGTCCACAAAATGCTATGTTAAAATGAGCCAAAAGTTGAGGCAATCGATGCATAGATGTGTTCTTCTTTTTCAATTTTCTTGTTAGCTGTTTTGATGCTGTGAGAAGAAGACTTAATATTATTAGATATAAGGTTTTTAAGTTTATTTTTCTCAAGGCTAGAGAGCTTGAATAATACCTGTGAGTATAAAAGGTTTTATACGAACTGTAACCCAGGAGAAGAAGCAAGGGGCTAGTAAAAGCAGGAATCTATGTATTTCTATGTTTTAAGTTTAATGTTATTGGGATTTTCTGAGTTTTGAAATGGTTTCTTTTTGGCATTTTGTATAAATGCTTCAAGTGTTCAACAACTTAGAATTGCAAAATCCCGTCGGTACAGCGGGCCGTGGATGACGAGCCCCGGCCCTAGGGTTTTGGAGCTGGATAATTCTAATGTTTGTCCAGCTAGGATGGCATAAAACCTCGGTGGGGGTTGGGGTTGGATGCTCAAAGAAACCTAGTCCCATTGGGGTTAGATACTTGAAAAAACCTGGTTCCATCGGACAGAAACTAGTCGGGTTGGGTACTCGAAAAAATATGGTTTCGTCGGACCAATGGAACCCAGGTGGGGTTGGATACTTGAAAAAACCTGGTTCCATCAGACGGAAACCAAGCAGGGTTAAATACTATGTGAAACACCAAGCAGGGTTGGAATTGGGAAGAACCTGGTCTCCTTGGACAGAGAATCTTTGAAAAAGTCTGCATTAAAATCAAGCGGGGTTGGAACTTGGAAAAACCTGGTCGCATTGGAAAGAAAATCTTCGAAAAAGTTCGATTCAAAATAAAAATAGGAAAATTATGCTCAGAAACTCTCTCTGGTGGTCTAATGGTTAGATAAGAACTCTTAGGTCTCTCATTGTGTGCTAATAGAGGAAGCCATCAGAGTCTTATATAACCGATAGTTTTACGGTATCGAAGCCATCAGAGTTCTTATATAACCGATAGTTTTACGGTATCGAAAGATTAGTTAAGGTGCGTATAAGTTGATCTGAACACCTCTCGTCATAAAAAAAATTATACCAAAAAACAAGGGGTGAGGAAGGAGAAAACCGGCCACAATAATATAATAATATATTAAATATACATAATTAATTATAATTAAAATTTTATTTAAAAATTAATTAATTGTAATACAAATTCATATGAGATCGATTGATCATGAATGTATAAGTTCATATGTAAGTGATATGACTGATCATATATGCATGCATAATTCACATTCTTTTTCTATCTAAAAAATTAAGGGTGAGCGGTATCAGGTACCCTGCATTTTTTAGGAGAGCTAGAACCGAAACTGTACAGTGTAAGTTCCCCAAAAAAGGAACCAGAATCGGAACCGCACAGTGCAGGTTCTCAAATTCAAGGAACTAGAATCTAAAATACAGGTTCTGATTCTTTTCCTTGGTACCCTGTAAAAAATCAATTATCTCCTATTAGTTTAAAAAATAACAAAAATACCTTAAAAGTTTACAAATACACCCCTAACAGATTTTGATTACTCATTCATTTATATCCAGTGTGACTCATAAATCCTCTAATCTCTAGGTGACATTTAAATTCAATCAATTCATCACAATTCACATAAAATTCATCAATCAAAACAAAAAACACAAACAATTAATTAAACAATCATACTATAAATCTATAATTTAATGTTATAATTAATTAAATTTCTAATCATTTAATTAAGTATTGTACTAATGTTTATAGTAGAATATTATAATTAATTAAGTAATCATACTATAAATATATGATATAATGTTATAATTAATTAAATTTTTAATCATTTAATTAAGTAATGTACTAATGTAGTAAATTACTAATATTTATAATGTAATGTTATAAATTTATAATTAATTAAGTAATTATTTAACTATGTAATGTTATAATTAATTAATTGATTATAATATAATGTAATGTTATAATTAATTAAGTAATTATTTAATTATAATGTAATATTTTAATTAATTAAATTTTTAATCATTTAGTTAAGTATTGTATTAATGTTTATAATAAAATGTTATAATTAATTAAATTTCTAATAATTTAATTAAGTATTATGCTAATGTAAGAAATCACTAATGTTTATAATATAATGTTATAATTAATTACGTAATTAAATTATAATATAATGTTATAATGAATTAAATAATCATAGTATAAATCTTTAATTTAATATTATAATTAATTAAATTCTAATAATTTAATTAAGTATTGTATTAATGTTTATAATTAAATGTTATAATTAATTAAATAATCATACTATAAATTTATAATTTAATATCATAATTAATTAAATTTCTAATACTTTAATTAAGTATTGTGCTAATATAGTAAATTATTAATGTTTATAATATAATGTCACAATTAATTAAGTAATCATTTAATTATGTAATACTATAATTAATTATGTAATCATACTATAATGTAATATTATAATGAATTAAGTAATCATACTATAAATCTTTAATGTAACATTGTAATTAATTATATTAATATTTATACTGAAATGTTATAATTAATTAAGTAACTATTTAATTAAGTAATCATTTGTTTATAATGTAATGTTATAATTAATTAAGTAATTATACTATAAATATATATTATAATGTTATAATTAATTAAATTTCTAATTATTTAATTAAATAATATACTAAATTATTAATGTAATATTATAAACTTATAATTAATTAAGTAATCATTTAACTATAATGTAATGGTATACTTAAAACTTGATAATTGAAGTAAATAACTGAATATTATATTATTATTCAATCAAATATATTATTTTATTTAAAAATAATTATTTTAATAACATCAATAAATAATTATTTTAATAACATCAAAACACTTTTAATTGGTCTTAATTTTAATTATACACTTAATTAATCAAAACTTTAATATTAATATATTATAATTTATTAAAGTTTTTTATATGGTGTAGTTTATATATAATAAGTATAATTGTATATTTATTTAATTAGGTTATTGTAAAAATTTAACTTTTTCCATTTTAAATTTTTTTATATGTCAAATTACAATAAACCCTCTATTCTTCACAGATATTTATTTTAGCCTAGGTTCCAAAACAAGGTACCTGCTACAAGTTCCAAGCAGATTTCAAGTCGAGTACTCATTGCAGGTTCTTTTTTTAGGTTTCGATTCTGGTTCCAATTCCTTCACATATAGGAATTAGAATCAGAATCGCACAGTATCGGTTCTAAAAAAATGGAACTGAAATCTACCTGCATAATATTGATTCTGGATAGATTTTAATTCTGATTACAATTCTACTCACAGATTCCGATTGTATCTACTACCCGTGCTCATCCTTATTAAAAATGTCACATAGAATTGTACTTATCATGAACTTCGAATGCTAAATTTGGAATATAAATTATACGCGCGTGAACACACGCGATCCATTCGAACACCTACCCACTTACACATACTCAAACTCAAAAACTCAAAACTCAAAACTCAAAACTTTACGTTTCCCGAATCCAAATCGCCCGGCGAAATCCTCCTAAACGACACCGTACTCTTTCCCCGCGACCTCGCATGCCCCTCGTCTCTCCGCTCTCCCAAGTCCCTCCCAAACTCGTCATGAAGGATCGGCCTCCCCGCTCCTACGGCGCCGTTTACGTTCCCCCTCACCACCGTCTCCGCTCCGTCATCGCCAGTCGCGCCTCAATTCCTTCGCTTCCTCACTCTCCAACACTAAAAAACCAGCAACAACAAAATAATAATAATAATAATAATAATAATAGTCACCATGATAAAAATAACAATGATAATAATAGGAGTTTGAAGTATAATTCAGTTTCAGCGTACAGTGACGGAGTGTCGAAGGAAGGCTCTGATCGGGAGCTTGACACGTGGCTACTACCGGTGAGTGTGACTGTTTGTTGTTGATTCATTTTGTGTTGTGTTTCCTGGAAAATTCGACTGTCATTGGTGGTATGAATTAAGAGAATTTGCAGACCATTTTATCTTTACACAGAGATGGTAACTAGCTACATTTATTCTACGAGTTTGTTGGAGAAATAAAATTAATAATGAATAAAGAAAAAAAGAGAGGATGATGTTAACTGGTTTTGAGTTCAATTCTAAATGGTTTTTTCTTTTTTTTGTATTGTTGTGATGATGAATGGAACTTCAAAAGTTCTGTAACATTACATTAGACAGAATAATGTAGTTTTTAATTCGGGTAACATTGCCTTAGACATTTTTACTATTAATTCTTGGAGTGTTGTAGTTAGAAAATTTACTTTAATGACTTCGTTTGTGCAAATTGTTCTTTAACTTCAATCTATTTGTTGTTCGCATTAACATTTCTTGCATTTGTAACACAATTACTACCCTGAAACTAAGCCTAGTTTATCTCAATTATAGGTGTGGTACTAACAGTGTTATAGTACATTCACTCAATAATGTAGTTTAACTTTTCAAATAATCACTTTTAGATAATTTTTTCCGAATAATTTACTGTGAAGTAAAGCGATAAGCATTTGCTGTGTAACTTGGCGAGTATCTTTTTTCATATTTATGTTCCTTTTTTATGTAATTCTGAGTTGCAAAGCATTTTTTTTATTCTGGTAAATTTTGTTCAATCTAGCAGCACTCGTTAGTTTTTTTCTTTCTGTAACTAGTGGTGGCTTGTATGTATGTTCAGATTTACATGTTTGATATTTACAAATATTCATGGTTATTTTCTGTTCTTTTGCTATGTTTCTAGGGTGCTTCCCCCTCTAATAATATGGAGGAGTGGAGAAGGAAGTTAACTGCGTTTTTACGTGACAAGTCAAAGCAAGAGTTGATCTCAAGGGAGAAAAAGGATAGATGTGATTTTGAGCAACTATCAGCTCTGGCTACTAGCATGGGTTTGTATAGGTATTTTTTGCTTTATTGCAGTAGATCCTCTGATTAGTGTGCAAACTTTTGCATTGATATGGGATTTTGATTTTGTATTACTTGTGACAGCCATCTATATGCAAAAGTTGTTGTCTTTAGTAAGGTCCCACTCCCAAACTACAGATTTGATTTGGATGATAGGCGGCCACAGAGGGAGGTATCTTCCTGGAGTTTCTTTTCATCGAATCCCTACTTTTTCTCTTTAAATATAGTTTTTATTCACACTCAACAATGAAGTTATGAATTTATCTTGAAAAGATAAGTTCTTTTATTTTACCCCCTTTTGCTCACCTTTTTTTTTGATCAACCTTATGAAATAATTTGAATGCCCAAGTGTTAGTGCTTTTAGATATATGCTGTAATGCATTGTTGAAGCTTTTAAGCATTGACAGGTGACCTTATCTCCTGGTTTGCTAAGAGGAATTGATTACTATCTCGGTGAATACCTCTCTCAAAAGTACAGGAGTAAGGGAAGCTTTGTGGATTTATCCATCTCGAGGTCCAGCAGTAGTAGTAGTCTTGCTACTGAAGAAGGTCTTTTTGAACAACCAGATCCACCAGTATCCAGTAAGTCTGTCATGGATCAAATTTTGCGGCGACGAAGTTTACAACTGCGTGATCAGCAGCAAGCTTGGCAGGTTCATCTTGCCCATACAATTTTCTGGAACAGTTCCCAGTTTCCACTGTTCTCCAATTGCATTTATTATTATTATTATTATTATTATCATTATTGCATCATTTATTCAATTTTTATTTTCTCAATTCAGAAGTAAGCATGATGTGGGTGGTTACTTTGCATGAAGTATTGCTTACAACATATGTCAGACTGCTGCTGTTTAATGTTTTGCTTTTGTCTTTTTTGTTTCAATTTTTCTAAGGTTTTTGGTGATCTTGGTTTAATTGTTNATATGCAAAAGTTGTTGTCTTTAGTAAGGTCCCACTCCCAAACTACAGATTTGATTTGGATGATAGGCGGCCACAGAGGGAGGTATCTTCCTGGAGTTTCTTTTCATCGAATCCCTACTTTTTCTCTTTAAATATAGTTTTTATTCACACTCAACAATGAAGTTATGAATTTATCTTGAAAAGATAAGTTCTTTTATTTTACCCCCTTTTGCTCACCTTTTTTTTTGATCAACCTTATGAAATAATTTGAATGCCCAAGTGTTAGTGCTTTTACATATATGCTGTAATGCACTGTTGAAGCTTTTAAGCATTGACAGGTGACCTTATCTCCTGGTTTGCTAAGAGGAATTGATTACTATCTCGGCGAATACCTCTCTCAAAAGTACAGGAGTAAGGCAAGCTTTGTGGATTTATCCATCTCGAGGTCCAGCAGTAGTAGTAGTCTTGCTACTGAAGAAGGTCTTTTTGAACAACCAGATCCACCAGTATCCAGTAAGTCTGTCATGGATAAAATTTTGCGGCGACGAAGTTTACAACTGCGTGATCAGCAGCAAGCTTGGCAGGTTCATCTTGCCCATACAATTTTCTGGAACAGTTCCCAGTTTCCACTGTTCTCCAATTGCATTTATTATTATTATTATTATTATTATTATTATTGCATCATTTATTCAATTTTTATTTTCTCAATTCAGAAGTAAGCATGATGTGGGTGGTTACTTTGCATGAAGTATTGCTTACAACATATGTCAGACTGCTGCTGTTTAATGTTTTGCTTTTGTCTTTTTTGTTTCAATTTTTCTAAGGTTTTTGGTGATCTTGGTTTAATTGTTGCAGGAGGATGATGTACTTTATGTAGAAAAATTTATGCTAGTTTCACTTTCTTTGGTTTTGGTAGGGATCACCACAAGCATGTTCTATTAAGGATAGATGGGGATTCAATGTTGGATTTTGATTTGGTTGTGAATCTTACAAATTTTTTATTAGTATTGTATGCTATTTTGCTGTGATACTAAAATAATGATTCTGTTAAGAATCACAAGCTTTTTATTTATTTATTTTTAGTTTCTAAAACATACTTATGATCAGGGTGTCAAATTGAATTGTTGTGACCTGGATTATCTTATTTTTTAACGTGTTGTAGGAATCTCCAGATGGTAGAAAAATGCTTGAATTCCGCAGAAGTCTTCCTGCTTATAAGGAGAAGGACAACCTATTGACAGCCATTTCACAAAATCAGGTGCGTCAGAATTTTCTTATTGTTGCTTCATGCTAACATTCTTTGGAGTGTTTCTATTTAAGATGAGGAAGTTTTGTTTCTTCTCATTACTTTTTCATGATTTTTGAAAATTTTACAGGTCATAATTATATCAGGTCAAACTGGCTGTGGCAAGACCACACAAATTCCTCAATTCATATTAGAGTCTGAAATAGAATCTGTTCAGGGTGCTGTTTGTAGTGTTATATGTACACAACCAAGAAGAATATCTGCGATTTCTGTTTCTGAGAGAGTTGCTTGGGAGAGGGGGGAGAAACTGGGTGAATCTGTAAGTCCCTTTTGAAGTACTATCACCTGATACTCAACTAAAGTATTAACAAATCAACTGATATTTAACCAAATTAATAACAATTCACCTAATAGTTGACCAAGTTATTGTCTTTGTTAATAATAAATATTTCCAAAATATTAGAAGTAATTTTTTTCTGTTTCTGTTTGGCAAAGGTTGGGTATAAAGTTCGGCTGGAGGGCATGAAAGGGAAGGATACCCATCTTCTCTTCTGCACCACAGGCATCTTGTTGAGAAGATTACTGGTTGATAAAAATTTGAAAGGTGTAACTCATGTTATTGTTGATGAGATTCATGAGCGTGGAATGAATGAGGGTAAAGTGTCAACTAATTTGAGGTTTATATTGTTGGGTTTAACGGATTGTAATTTCTCACAGCGATACACATTTGATGCCAGATTTTCTGCTTATTGTCCTTAAAGATATCTTGCCTCGTCGGCCAGAATTGAAGCTGATTCTGATGAGTGCAACCCTAGATGCAGAGCTTTTTTCATCCTACTTTGGTGGAGCTATGATAATTCACATTCCGGTAAAGTTAAATGCCTGTGAGCAGCTGATGTTACATCTGTGAATATGTTCCATTGAGTGCTATATATATATATATATATATATATAATTTTAACTTGGATAGTTGAAGTAAAAAACTTAAATATTGATCCTTTCATAATTTTAATCTTAGTGGTTAGAGATTTGATTGTCAAATTAAATGTTACTTTTTGACTTTTAATTTTAAACTTTTAATTTTGATGAATGAATGGATGAATAATATAGGGATTGAAGTCAAAATTTTAGGTTAAAAGATCCCCATCCCAATATATCACAGTCTACCTGAATGGGTAGTTAGTGATCTACATATCCATAGGTAAGATCCCTGGTGGCTATAAAAGGAGTTTAACAGACATTCAGTAATTCGGTCTCTTTTGAGGATATCCTCTGTTGGTGGAATCTCTGATACTCTTCCTTTACTAGAACTTTGTTTAACAAGAGAAGATGACAATCATAGTTAATTTCATACTTATCAAACTTGCCTGGCAAAGCCTGATTGAGTTCCTTTTTGAAGTTTTGGAACAATTTTATAGGGTTATTGTTTATAACATTATTACATGTTCAGCAGATATTATGTGTCTGAAGTATTGTTTTCTATTGTGTAAATGGGGTATCATTGATAAAATTATCCCAAAGTCAGTGTAGCCTACTAGTTTACTAGGATAATCCTTGTATTATCCGGTTTAGGTCAAGATAGAGTAACTCTATAGTTCATTGTTCAGCTTTCTGGACAACCAGAACTCTGAGTTATATGGGTAGGCTGTTTGTCCCATCCTGCCCAATGAGAAATGCAGTCTGACTGAGGCCTGTTCACCGAGCTGGCTACCTTGTGTGTGATGGTGTTATATGGGTAGGCTGTTTGTCCCATCCTGCCCAATGAGAAATGCAGTCTGACTGAGGCCTGTTCACCGAGCTGGCTACCTTGTGTGTGATGGGCTGGATTTGATCGCTATGTGTGTCACCTACATTTTTTGCTCAGAAGAGAGATTCAAATGAGTTTGCAAAATAAACCTTTTATTTTTGTTTTTCTATTTTGGCCATGAGGAGAGGATGAATAGGGTATTGCAGATGATAACTGGTTTCTCTTAAAACTAATATAAATTAAGCTTTCAGAATAGTCTGAAGTGTTCCTTGAAGTGAGAGGTCAAAAAATGAAGAGAGAAAAGGGTTCTTTTTTCAGTTGTGGTTTACTAGCTCTACTCGATCAATTATCTTAAGTTCATCAGGATAGGTCTTGGATTAGGTTCTTACAATAATAGGGGAAAGCTTTTTCATCCAAGATATCTTTTAACCTTTTTTTATCTGTCAACTCTTTTTTTGTGTGTGATGCATTACTTTTCTTATCGTTTAATTCTATTGTTTTCTACCAAAAAAAAAAAAAAGAAAAAAAAAAAGATTTTTAGTTCAATGTTATTGTGGAATATGTTTCAGATTGCAAAATCTGGTGTGCTGATTTCTGGTTTTTGGTCTAATTCAGGGTTTCACATACCCAGTTAGAACTCATTTTCTGGAAAATATTTTGGAAATGACGGGTTACAGATTGACCCCATTTAATCAAATTGATGATTATGGTCAAGAAAAAACGTGGAAAATGAGCAAACAAGCACCAAGAAAGAGGAAGAGCCAAATTGCCTCTGCTGTTGAGGTATGCAAAGATTATATTGCTACTATTGACACTTTAATGCTTTGTAAATTCCTCATTTGATTCTTCTTTCCTGTTCGGAATCATGCAATCAGGATGCACTTAGAGCGGCCAATTTCAAGGAGTATAGCTGCCAGACTCAGGAGTCATTGTCATGTTGGAATCCTGATTGTATTGGTTTTAATCTCATTGAATACCTCTTATCCCATATTTGTGAGCAAGAAAGACCTGGTGCTGTTCTAGTTTTTATGACTGGGTGGGATGACATAAATTCTCTTAAGGATAAACTACAAGCTCATCCTATATTAGGTGATTCAAGCCGAGTTTTGTTACTTACCTGCCATGGTTCCATGGCTAGTTCAGAGCAGGTGAACTTGTTATTCAATTCATTTTCATTATATAATTGGGCTGTGGAGTTGTATAGTACTCAGTTCTGCATTTGAATATGTAGTGTATGTGAAAATTGCATAGACAATTTCAATTGATATTTTACTTGGCTTTGTCCACCCAAACCCCATTTTTAAGAAAGGACTGAAATGTTAACAGAGTTTAATATTTGACGAGCCTGAAGGTGGAGTGAGGAAAATAGTGCTTGCCACTAACATAGCTGAGACAAGTATCACCATTAATGATGTTGTTTTTGTCATTGACTGCGGGAAGGCAAAGGAGACATCATACGATGCACTGAATAACACTTCTTGTCTGCTTCCTTCTTGGATTTCCAAGGTTTCTGCTCAACAAGTAAGGTCCTTATTATTTCAAAAGTTAGATCTTTTTCATCTTGCAATGTAATTCATTCACATTTGCTTTAGGCATTTATGATCTGTTTGTATCTAGTTGTCTACTTTCTTTTCTATTGAGTTGTTCTCCCTCAGGCTTATGAGGTCAGGTACCTTTGTTGTTTTAAAAAAAATCTTTTTCCTATACTGCATCAGTTCATCTCTGTGATAATATATGTGCATTTTCTGTTTGATGAAGACTGTTATTATTTTTAAGTAATACCAAGCGCTAACAATTAGCATCTTTTTTGAAATTTTTTCTATGATTTGACCTATACACTAGTTGATTTTTAATCAGTTCCATTTATTTAATAGATGTTTCTTTTGTATGATTTATATATTATCTAGAGAAGAGGAAGGGCTGGCCGTGTTCAACCTGGAGAATGTTACCATCTTTATCCTAGGTGTATATATGATGCTTTTGCAGAATATCAGCTACCGGAAATTTTAAGGACGCCTTTGCAATCTCTGTGCCTGCAAATTAAAAGTTTAAATCTTGGGAGTATTTCTGAGTTCCTATCCAGGGCTCTGCAGTCACCTGAGTTACTAGCTGTAAGGGTTGATAGTTTTTTTCCATCTTCATATTGTTACATGAATGTTACTTTTTCTCAGATATATTTAGTGCTTCTGTTTATTGCTCTCTTTTTAGTTTTAATTGTGAAATCTTTTGCATGTCTATCTCATTACTTTGTTTAATTGAAATTTGCCTGTAGGTCCAAAATGCTATTGAGTATCTAAAAATCATTGGGGCCTTGGACCAGAATGAAGACTTGACTGCCTTAGGTAAGGGAAAATGATCTTGGACTGGTGCTGCTATGTTTCTAGAGTATTTTGTGTCATAAATCTTAAGTGTCACATGACAGGTCGATATTTGACTGTGCTTCCAATGGAGCCTAAACTTGGAAAGATGCTCATATTAGGTGCTATCTTTAAATGTCTGGAACCAGTTTTAACAATTGTTGCTGGCCTTAGTGTCAGAGATCCTTTCTTAGCACCAGTGGACAAAAGGGATGTAAGTGATCTCATCTCATACGTTTAGATAAAGGTTACGTGCTGTATGTTTGGGTCAGGATTGGGGAGAGAGATTTTGGCACTGTTTGATAGAGAATTTAAGTACAATTCTTTATTTTTGAAAATTAAGGATACAAGAAATATTATGAAAATTCATTCGGTTGAAAATTTATTCAAAATAGTTTTTCGGTACAATCCTAAATATTAATTTAAAATCAGAAAACTCAAAAAATTTAATATCTGGTTTCATTTCTTGCTTATATGGATCTAAAATTTTATGCTTATAATACTTAAGTAATTACTGCAGTCAGTGAATCTGTTCTTCTCTTTGTAGCTTGCTGAGGCTGCAAAATCTCAGTTTTCCCATGATCATAGTGACCACCTTGCACTTGTTCGGGCCTATGAGGGATGGAAAGCTGCTGAAAGAGACCTTGCTGGATATGACTACTGTTGGAAAAACTTTCTCTCATTTCAATCAATGAAAGCTATAGATTCTCTTCGAGATGAGTTTTTCTCTTTGCTCAAGGATACTGGTCTCGCTGATTGCAACACAACCATGTGCAATGCATGGAGCTATGATGATCATCTCATCCGAGCAGTTATTTGTTATGGTCTTTATCCTGGAATTTGCTCTGTTGTGGTGAGTCATTTCTTTTTCATGTCTGCCAAGGTTTCATCCTCTCTCTCTTTTTTTTTTTTTTTTTTTTTTTTTTTTGTGGAATCTACTTATTCTCTAATCTTTTTGGTGTTTAATGTCCTTTTTTCATCTCATGGAGTCATTTTGTTTTATGCTTAAAAGAGCCTGCACATACTAATTCAATAGGAAGTTGACTTTTAATAGCTAGAATAGAAAGAGGATAGGAACTAAAGATAATTGTGACCATTGTTTCAATACTTCAAGCTTAATTAACTCTCTTTTTTCCCTTTCTTTTCACCTGACAAACAATATATGATTAGTTTACTTCTATAATGTATGAGTGCTAATGTAAATGCATATACAGAATAATGTGAAGTCCTTTTCACTGAAAACCATGGAAGATGGCCAGGTGCTTCTATACTCTGTAAGCGTCTCCGTCCGAACTTTTGTTGTGTTTTCCTACTAATATTAACTCCTGGATTAAATACATTGATATATTAGTCAGGGTTCTGTCTTGTTTTAATAGCTTGTTCATTTTATTTTCCTAGAATTCCATCAATGCTCGGGAATCTGAAATACCATACCCCTGGCTAGTTTTCAACGAGAAGATAAAAGTGAACTCTGTTTTTCTTAGGGATTCAACAGCTGTCTGTGATTCAGTGCTGCTTCTGTTTGGTGGTAGCATCTTTCAAGGAGATGCTGTAAGTATTTCTTTTCCGTCTAGTAACTTAATCTCGTTTCTATTTGTATCTTATATTGTTTATTTTCAGTAATTATTTTTTTGATTTATACGATTTCTTAACAGGATGGACAATTGAAAATGATGGGAGGATATTTGGAATTCTTCATGGAACCTGCTGTTTCTGATATATATCAATGTTTAAGGAGAGAACTTGATGAACTGATTCAAAAAAAGGTACGTGAATCCTTGAATGGACAGTTGATGAGCTGGTTGGATTCCACCACTTGCTAATAGTAGCGCCATTTTGATTGCTTTTTGGTTCACTTTCATTGATATGTGCCAATCACGGTTATGAAAATAAATTTGAAATAACTTTTCTGCTTGTCTTTGGGCCATACTTATTGCTTTAATTGACCCTGTTTATGGCCAGTTACTCAATCCCAGAATGGAAATGCACATGTATCATGACCTCCTATCTGCAGTTCGATTGCTTGTTTCAAATGATCATTGTGAGGGAAGGTTTGTATTTGGCCGCCAGGTGCTTATGTCGCCCAAGCCCTCACCTGTGGCAACACAGCCAACTTTGATTCCAAGGACAGAGAGTGGACCTGGGGGTGATAATTCTAAGAGTCAGCTCCAAACATTGCTCACTAGGGCAGGATATGCCGCCCCCACCTACAAAACGAGACAATTGAAGAACAACCAATTCCGATCTACAGTGGAATTTAATGGAATTCAAATTATAGGTCAGCCTTGCAACAATAAGAAGAGTGCAGAAAAAGAGGCCGCAGCCGAGGCACTGCAGTGGCTAATGGGAGGAACCCATACTGGCGTTGAATACATAAATCAAATGTCACTGTTGCTGAAGAAAAGCAAGAAGGATCACTACTGAATCAGCACCACCCTCGAGTCTGCCGTTGAGGGCTTTTCCAGAAAGCAATGGGCACAGCTGACTGTAACTACATTTGACTAAAAAACAGTGGATGCTTAATCTCACCTTCCAAAGAAGAAAAAAGTTTGACAGCATTTTCCACTGGAGGAGCTAAACTTATCTCGACAATATATCCTCATGTTAATGATCGATTTTGCTGAGGGGAGATTTTATGATTGACTTCGACTATGTTACTACCCGCATGTGGACATGGTCTTGAATCTCACAAGAAGTTAAAAGGTATTTGGATTAATCTAATTTTTCCTCCCATGTTTTTTCTTTTGGGGCGGATGATTGGCAGTAACTGGTGGTGTATACAGTGACAGCAGATGAATTAGGACTTGCTGTTGGCGTAAATACTACTCTGCACATGATTTTAGGAAGGTAGACGGAAATTTGACCTCATTTTGAACTCACATATAATCGTGGTTTACTACAACTTCAAAATCATCTGGAGGCTTGGAAGCCAAATACGTCGTAACTGATGGAATTGTGTGTTTAATGTCGAAAAACGATCACTTCTCATGAAGTGTGTGCTCGATTTGTTACATAGAATTCTTATCCATGTGAATGGTGCATATAATGGCTTACAGAGCGAGAGGATTCCCCTTGTAAATTAGAACTATTATATGCAGGATTTTTTACTCTTGCTGATTGGCAGGTAACACGCCACGGCGTGTTACTAGCATGACAAGCCAGCCATTGTTTTGATGCAGAATAAATAGAATTTCTGGTTGCTTAATGGATGTTACTTTTTAGCTTGACCATACTTGAAATGAAAAAAAGGAGTTGATTGTTCAATTAATGATGTCATGAGGTTAAGTTCAACACAAAGTTGTTTGGATCGAAACAAAATGATACATTTCGACTGTACATTTCACTGGATCGGGCTAAAGTCGGCCCAGTTTCTCTAGAAAGGTTCTCACATCATTAAGTTATTGGGCTTCATTTGGTCCAATTAAACTTTAGTTTAATCAAATTCTAAATACTAGACGTATAAATAAATTTTACAAAGATTTTTATATAAATCAACGCGGCAAAAAACGAATGAAAGAAATTTTACAAAGATTGTTATACAAATCAACGCGGCAAAAAACGAATGAACAAAAAACGAATGAAAGAGTGTTTGTATATAAGTTTTTATAAAATTTATTTCTACGTTTAATATTATTAAATTTATACGGTAGTTTTCTAAACGCGTTTTTGTCAGGGGTTGTGAGTTGGATTGACCCATTTGACATGTGTAATTAATTCAACTACGTGAATGAATCTGTAAAGCAGGGATGGGTCTAAGCAAATCCGTGACTAAGGTTGACTTCATACATGTGAATGTAAGTACTAAAATTGGTAGAGAGATCAAAACCACAAATTGATTAACTGAATGTATATGAATTTCTTTTCCAATACTAAATTTTTTTGTCCTCTACTATAAAGGCATCAAACTTTATAAAATAAAATAAAATAAAACCTTCTCTCACTCTCTGAATCTCACCACAAAAATTGCTTCCTTCATTGACCATAAATAAACCCATCCCCTTGACCATAAAAATTTCTTGTCATGTGACCATTGTTTTTATTTTATTTTTTTATTTAATAACATAAATTTGATGCAACATCGATTTTGGTGATGGGGTTAGTCCAAATTGATTGGGTAAAAATTATTTTGAAAAGAGTGGAATCTCACCATATGTGTATGAGACAGGCTGGGAAAGTATGCTCCTTTCATGTCTAGATTCCTCATAATTTAAAAGAAAAAAAAATAAAAAATTCCTTGATTAAATTAAATTAAGATTTGCTGGGTATTAGAGAGGAAATTGAAGTCAGATATGCGAACTCCATTATGTGTTTTTGTCTGGAATTTCATCATCTTTCTTCATTCAACAAAAAAAAATTGTACTTTGTTGGTAACAAATTCTCCTGTGGGATTAGGACTAGGATCAAGTGTTGATGACATAATGTGAGGCCAGCCGTGTCACGACGACGGACATGTCCTCGTCGCGACAATTTACCGTTGCCGGGGTGTTGGATGGATTGAATTGACCAAAGCTAAAATTGACATGTTCAATTGGAATTGGCACCAGTGTTAAGGGGACCCCTTTGAGCTTTTTTGAGGTTTAATGTGTGGATTATTTGGTATGCTGGAAAAGAGGGGCAGGCCCTCTTTGGGCCACAGTTTTGTGAATCCCATGACAAAGTTAATAGGCCAAAATACTTTAAGTTGGGTAGTCATGTTTTGTTGGGAAACTTTAGGGTTTAAGGGAAAAAGCAATTAGATGTGATGCTTTGATCACTGTTAGATCTTTGATGGGTTTAAATCAAAAGCTTATCCCACATTGCCAAATAGTGAATGTTTTGTCTCATTCTTTTGGTCTTCAAGAAATCTCAATTAAAATTACTCATTTATTATTATTTTCCGAATAGCGTTATCCCTTCTAAACAGTTAGATTTAAATACAATCAACCCTTGAATTACATATATGTATTGTAAACTAACCCTACATAAATATTCAGTTACTTCATACAAGTGATTCATAATACAAATACTGATAGCATGACTGACGTCGTTGAAACGATGATTCTTATAAAGACTTTATTCTATCTTAAATTCTTATATCATATTCCAGTTAACTGTTGAATTATAAAGACGTAAAATTATTATCAAAACCACGTACAAGTGATTTATAAAGCAATTATTAACGGCACTGATGAGAGGAGGATTGATTTGGTACAATAACATTATCAAAATAATGTATAATACCCTACTTATTAATCAAGATATCGGTTGGTATGAGCTCAACTGATGATATTCCCATTTCATTTATTTAATTGATTGATCCATCAAATGATTTCAAAATGGAATTAAAATTAGGTTAAAGATGGCAAAAATCTTATTCAACCAAGTGCAAATGAGTTGGACACAAAGTAGGTGACCCAAGTGGAGCCACATAGCCAAACAAGGAGCGTAAGGGTGGAGCCCTTGGTTCATAATTATTGGTCACACTTAGACATAAAACAACTCAAAATTTCATTCCCCCAAGCTGGACCAACCCCTAATTAATTAATTAATTTTTTGTATTTTTTTTTTCTCATTTATTTCCATCCATTTATTCAGGTTTTGACCCTACAAATAAACATTAATCAGAACTCCATGTGGGTAGTGTTCCCAAGAGAGATAATAGAGATAGAGAAACAAAATTTAATTTCTAAATTATTTGGTTGATTAATTAATTAATTAATTAATTAACAACACTTGTAAAATACCAAACTAATTGCAAGATAAGGAAGAAGGTTTGTGTCACATCAACGAGTATGACACGTGTAGGCATATATTAGCATATACCGTGTATCTATTGTATTATCGTTATTTTTGTTCAACTTATGCTCGTATAATCTATTAATGAAGATGTATTATATCACTACGTGTGATATATACACGTACCGATTAAGGAGAATGTGTTACTTCAATATGTATGACATACATGCACATATCATTGACTAGTTGAATGTGTATTTGTTTCCGCACAAATAGGTGTAATTAGTAAATTTATGAACAACCCAAGTAAAATATCAAATTAATTAGAACGCAAATAGGAGGAAGATATTTGTGCAACGGATACATACACAACTAGCAAACGAAGATGCTTTATGTCAATTCTTATCGTAGTCGGATACACATTCACTACACAACTTTAATAAGCATGATGTAATTATAATAAGGAGATACTAAACTTATCGATTATGCATACCAAATGGACTTTCGATTGACATAGAGTATGATGTGGATAGTTTCCATCTCGACCATATTGCAGCCCACGTTAGTCGGGATGTCTATTCGATATGCACAATCGTAAGCGTAGTCTTACTCTTATAATAAAAAAGAATTTGGCAGATTGATGAGTAGTTATTTTATTTATTGAGGTTGAGATTTCATGGGTTGACAAATATTGTCTTTATGTGTATGTCTTTCTTTGGCTTTTTCTCTCTCTCTATCTTTTCTTCTTGAGGGTGGCTTGTGGTCTATTTTGTTGTTGCCTTTAAATCACAAAAAGGTGGGCGACCTTTATTAAAAAATATTATTTCTTTCGCATATGGTTTTTATCACATTCATTATCATGAAAAATATGCTCTACNATCGTAGTCGGATACACATTCACTACACAACTTTAATAAGCATGATGTAATTATAATAAGGAGATACTAAACTTATCGATTATGCATACCAAATGGACTTTCGATTGACATAGAGTATGATGTGGATAGTTTCTATCTCGACCATGTTGCAGCCCACGTTAGTCGGGATGTCTATTCGATATGCACAATCGTAAGCGTAGTCTTACTCTTATAATAAAAAAGAATTTGGCAGATTGATGAGTAGTTATTTTATTTATTGAGGTTGAGATTTCATGGGTTGACAAATATTGTCTCTATGTGTATGTCTTTCATTGGCTTTTTCTCTCTCTATCTTTTCTTCATGAGGGTGGCTTGTGGTCTATTTTGTTGTTGCCTTTAAATCACAAAAAGGTGGGCGACCTTTATTAAAAAATATTATTTCTTTCGCATATGGTTTTTATCACATTCATTATCATGAAAAATATGCTCCACTATTTACACATTTTTTATTAAAAAAAAAAAAAAATTTAAAACTTTTAAAGAAAATTTGGTTCTCTTATTAAACTCGATGGTCTAACAACTTTTCTACCTGTCGGTCACCGACAGTTCTAATAATTAGGGCGAATTAAAGATAGTGTGGATAGACGCATGACTCAAGTTCGATTCTCATCTAAACGTTTGCGATTAAAGTGGATGGTCATTACAATAGGTTGTTGTGCTAGTATTTCGCAAGGATTAGTCGAGGTGCGCGTAAGATAGCCTGAATACTTCGGTTGAAAAAAAAAAAAAAAATTCTTGGTCGATTAAAATGGTTTATATAAGTTATTGGAGATCATTTTTTCAATTCGACATGATATTTTTATTTTTATTTAAAAAAAAAAAAAAAAACCTAGCCTTTTGAGTCTAACATTTCTGGAGTTGATTTTTTTTTTATTTTTTTAATAAAAAGAAAGGATTGGAATGATGATTTACTTTATTCTCTTTGACCAAAATTAAGATTTATGTAAAAGAAGTTCAAAGTTAATCATATATTAAAGTAAAGACCAATTGGGGTTATTAATGATTGATTATAACCTTGAATGAATAGTATTATGATAAGCTACTTAATGATAAAAATTATTATGACAAAGTTACCTCTTAAATGATTGAGAATCTTACCTAATTAATTTAAAAAGACTGGTTTTGACCAAAATTACTAAGAAAAAGAAGTTCAAACTTTAATCATATGTTTAACTAAAGATTAATTTCTTAATTAAATAGTATTATGATAAGATTCTTGTCATAAAGTTACCTCTTTATTGATCAAAGATCTCACCTAACTATAAAGGAATGATAGGTTTTGATTCGAAATATGAATCAAACTACATTTTTACCAGCTTTCTGTTATGTTTTTATTATAAATTTTACGTTTTTATTATGATTTCATAGATTTTATGTTGATATATTAATACAATTATGTATCTTCGAAAAACCCTTCAATATTTCTTACAAAGTTTGATATTTATCGGAAAAAATAATAACAAATATGATTTTATATTTTTGTCTCGAAACACTTCTAACTTATTCATTTTTAAAATTTTTAATAACAAGAAAGTACAACATCAAATTATTGGTATTTTGATCTTGTTAGATGGTTCGTGACCCTGAAAATTAGACATACTTTAATATGGATCTAGATATTTCAAATACCTAAAACTGGATTCATATTAACCATGATACGTTTTTACAGTTCTTTTACTAATACGATTAACGATCATATTTTGTGTTAAAACACTTCAACCTCTATTTTAAAAAAAAAAATCCCACCAAACTAAATCATATAATTACTTAAAGAATATAATTAAAATCAGAATCAATCAAGACCAAAAAAAAAAAAAAAAAAAAAAACCGAGAAAGTATTGAGTGTGTGGGGTGCTGCTGACTGGCTGGAGTGGTCCCGTACACCTCATCATCTATCACTTGATAATTTAATTTTTATTTTTGTGAAAAACTTTGTAATAACTTTCTGGTACCCCTATGATTCTCTTATTCTCTTCTGTCCCCCGCTATTCCTTTTGACTTGTCCCTTTTAGCCTTTTCACTTCACTTCCAACTTATTAATTACTTTCACAATAATTAACTTTTATTTTTTTATCCATTCATTTCAGTTACTTCTAGTACTCATAGTATTTTTGTTCTTTCTATTAATGCTTTCTTACCACCCCTGTTTAATGATCAGTGATCACCTTCCATTTAATGCTCATTTTTTTTATTTTTTTTAAATATATAGAAAAGAGGAATACTTTTATGTTGCTATCGGCTCGACAAAATTTTTATCGTATAAACATCCATGATTTAAGTGAGGAATTATAGCGATAGGTTATTACATTAATATCATCTGGAGATTAGTTAAGATGTGCGTAAACAGACCCGATTCTATATATGTATAGGGGCTTGTTTTTATCATCCATATTTTGGTATAAAATTAATTAAATTTTATTGATTGAATTAATTCTAAAATTTTTTGGCATAAAAGAATATATACCTTTTGCATCTAATTTCCCATGATTTGTTTTGATCTCTTCATCTTCACTTGTCTATAGCATCTTCCTTTAACCATTTTTTTCAAATTCATTATCCCTAACTTTGATCAAGGTTCCAAAGGAATATCTATCATATCGATCTCTTATATGCAAATTGACGTGACATTATTCTTTCATTGCTCCATCAATCATCCCTATTTATCGAGCATGCGTTGAATTAAGTTGATTATTCTTATTCACTCTTTAATTTATTCCATATCATTTCAAACATTTATCGTGTGTGTATCTTTTTATTGATTACATAGGAATATAGGATAATGATAAAGTAAATGTTATTAAATCAAACGATACAACATCAACCAAACCCCTATTATGAAAAAGTATAATATTAACTGGTTTTTATCAACTGGTCACATTGATAACGTGATATATCAATTTTAAACGACTTTTTTTTTTCTTTTAAAATAAAAATAAAAATTAAATTAAAAAAAGTAGAATTATCTTCAAAACCTTTTCTCCCTTTAGTCAATTCCAAAATCTCAATCAAATCTCTCCCTTTATTCTTCTTCCTTCCTTACTTAGATTCCGTAATCATAATCTAGAAAACCCTTAAATTTAATCCACCCACCAAAAGGGGTAGATTAGTAAATTCCGCATCTCACCCAGGACCCGTCTTCGTTAGGGGCATTTTCGTCATTTCTCCCTCCCCACTTCGTTCTTTCCAAACACACGTATCTGAGAACATCTTCAAAATCTCCCTTTGACCGTCGTACCATTTACTCTCTCTCTCTGCCTGTCTGTCTGTCTCTCTCTCTCTTTCCTTCACCCCTCTCGAACTCCTCCTTTTCGCCGCTCCCCCAGAGAGCAGAAAGCAAAGAAACCGAGAAACAATTAAACCCACAAAAGAAAAACAGGAAAGAAAGAAAAAGACAGAGAGAAAAAGAAAAAGTTTCGATAAAAGTAACCCCTGAAGAAGAAGTTATTGTTATATAAATTCATAAATTTTTAGTCTCTCTGAAACTCGGCAATCCCTTCAAGATTTTAAAGCTCGAAACTTTTCGTTAACTCGCTCTCATTATTATTACAACTCTCAGTATCGCTCTCTCTTAACTTCTCTTTCTTTGATCCGACGGCCACGATCGTACGCTTACGCCTCTTCTCACTCACTCAATCTCTCTACGTAAGTTTTGCCTTTTTGAGCCACCTTTTTATCCGCTTCGTTTCCCTCTCATTTTTATTTTTATTGTTTTTTTTTTCAATTCATTTTTTTCTTCTGTATATCTACTTCTGTTCTGTATGCATGTGTATACGTTTTAGCCTTTGCCTCTTCATTGTGTTTCTTTGTCTTCTTCGTCTCCGTCTCTTAATCGGTTCAGTTGCTTTTTAGTTTTTTAAATATATATTTTTTTAATATTTTTTTGGGGGTTTCTTTACATGCAATCAATGAGTTATTTTTGAATTTGAGGGGCTTGAGATTTAGTATTTTTTATGATAATTGGTGCTTTTTTCTGTGTGTTTAGATTAGCTTAAGCAAGTTTAAGTGATGTGTTTGCTTACTAAATTTCTGTTTGTTTTCATAAACGTGGTGTTGGGTTTTTACTGTTTGGCAGGTACATGATCAAAGCGTTAATTTTTAAATAAACTTTGTGATTTGCATGTAATGTAAGTTTATTCTTCTTGGATTTTTTCAGTTCGCTGTAGTGTTTTACGTTGAGAAGGAATTGAGTTAGTTGTTGTGCTTTTGGCTTTAGAGTTATTAGTGCTTTTTTTATTTCACCTTTTTGCGTAGAAATTTTCAGTTATTTTAGACCACGGAATTTGGAGTTAGGTGAGTGGGTTCCGTGAGTTTTAAGGATTGGTTTTAGCTCTACCCATTGAAAGCTATGTGGGTTTCATTTTGTCGATGTAAAGCTGTGGCAAGTTTAGCCAGGCTGGTAAAGCTAGACGAAGCATGTGGGGTTTTAATATATTTAAGAAGTTTATTTATTAATGGAAGTGAAATATTACCTGGTTTTGAAAATGCTTTGAATCTTGCCAGAAAGTTTGAGTCTCTATGTTGGGTTGGAGTTATTTTTAGTTGAATGAGAGTGGGAGCTAATTGCGAGCTATTTGAAATTAAGAATAATTCTATGTTGTGTTGTAGTTTTTTTTAGTTGAATGAGAGTGAGAGCTAATTCCTAGCTATTCAAATTTGAAGGATAATTCGTGTGCATCGATGTAATCATTTGAAAATTTGTTTTGTGATGGATAGATTATGGTGTATATATCTGTTGGGAGCCTATAGGAAGTGGATTGTCAGATCATATGGAGTGTTATGGAGTAATGGCCTCTCTTGTCGAGCAATATGTAGGGTCCATTGATTTGTTAGGATGTGCTATTGTTGTTTTATGGTTAATATGGTGAATTATTGAAGTTTACTAGAAGCCATCTCACTGAAAATGGCCGGCTTTATACACTTTGATGCAAAACATATTGGTTGGATTTACATTTCTTGTGGGAACCTATTGTTTTTATGGTAACATCTATCGCATTTAAAAGAACAAATACTTAATATCAGGTCAGGGCTGTGAGATAAAGCACCAGACCTATTATTGCAACTCTAGTTATTGTATGGGTTAAGTTTTAGAATTTCATAGAACGGAAATACATATGTACATAAATATATATGTTTATTTATTTGGTAGTTTTCACTTTCGGTGATGGGCCTGCTTGTGCTGATGGACTTGTACATAAAATTATTACCTTTAAAGCATGATGTAGAAATTCACTTATAATGGTACTTAAACTGTGTCCCTAGCTTTATCACTGTAATCTGTGTCTAGATAAAATTACTAGTATTCTATGAAGATCTAGACTGTCTCACATCAAAGTTTTGCTGATTAAGCTATACCACTCTATCCTACATTGATATATACCTTTTGTAGATTGTATGTGTGACTGTTGAGATCTGAGGTGAAAATATTGGTATTATTTGTACTGCTTTATTAAGTATCATACTAGTTTAGGAAATTCTTTATGTAAAAACTTTTGCTTACTATACTTTCCATGTTAGATTATGCACTACATCTTTAATGTATAAGATTTATAAGTTTTTGTAAGAACCATGTGACTATTTGTAGTATTTACTAATGTGTTTTGATTTCATCAGGGGAAAGCTTTTGCTTGTTGATTATTTTCCTATATATCTTTGCTAGAATTGTAAACTGCTTTTTGTGCTATTATGGACTATAGTAACAGATTTCTAGAATCTGTACTTAAATTTTTTTCATTCACAAGTAATTATTTATTGGCAGCGTCAACGGGAGTAAAGGTATATCTTTTTTTTTTTCTTTTTTTTCTTTTTTTCAATTAAAGTTAAAAGATAACTGTTCAGTGACACTTTTCGGCATGGTGGCATTTTTTTGTTTGATTTTGACAATCAAGTGTACATTGTGACAGTGCTTCTCTATGATTTGATAATCTTATCTATTTATTTATAATCATGTAATCTCTTATCATATTTAGTTGGACCTACATACACTTTCATCATTTAATAAAATAGTTGTTTATTTTCTATCTTGCTTTTGCACAAAATAGTATATTTCACAAATTTACTGTTTTGTACACTTAACAAAAAATGGTTAGATTATCTATTACCTTATTTGGTTTAGGTCATCTATTACCTTATTTGGTTATCCTTATTGGTTAATAAGTTGGGAAGTGCTTTTGTTTGTAACAGAGATTACATGTTTTAATTATCTTCTCGATTTGCAGTGATCAATTTGCATCTCATAAACATGGGGCTCAGCGAGCCTAATGGTCACAGCAGACTGAGAAGAAACGATCATCCTGTCCAAGAAAATGGTGATTCTGATTTATCTAGTGTTGGTGATGAGTTAGATCCGTGGACAGCATGGGCATACAAGCCTCGTACCATTTCATTCTTGCTTATCGGTGCATGCTTTTTGATGTGAGTGTGATGACAATAAACAGTTTATTTATGACATTGAGATACAATGGGCACTTGATGTAGTTTTTGTATTTATTTCTGTTGGATTAACAGTTTTCGTGGTGGGTGTAACTTATAGATGGTATACCAACTTGATGTATTCTGATATGGATAGAGTTTTGTCTTGTGCTTTGAGTTAAATAATGCTTTATATAATCTCTTATTGAAAGATTATAGGATGTAGTAATGATGGAAAATGATAATTATTATTAAGTTTCTCGACAAAGTGCATAGCACTCAAGTAATTATACAGAATATTAGAAGGTTAAATCTTTATTTTTAACTATTTGTAGTATCTTAACAATTTTTTTTTTTTTGTTATCTTTTAATTACAATTATTTTCTTAATTTTTGTTCTGTATACGGTTACCAGTTGGGCAAGTGGAGCTCTTGATCCTGAAAGCACTGCTTCTGGAGATCTTGTTACATCTGTCAAAAGGTGCGTTCCTGTAACCTTTTTGTAAGTAGTTATTTCTTTGAGCAATTTATCTTTAATGCATCTAAGTATAATAATTTAAAAGCATGTCATTGCTTTTTCTTGTAGGGGTGTATGGGCGATGATTGCAGTTTTTCTTGCTTACTGCTTACTGCAGGCACCTTCTACGTAAGTTGTTGAATCTGAATACTGTAGTTTTATTTCTTATGAACTAGTCAACACTCAAATATTTTAGTATGTCTTCAGGAGTGTTTTGTTGGTATAAAAATTGATGTTCACGAAAGTCCGAATATAGAAACTTATGAAAATCATTGAATTTGCCTTATGCTTTTGAGTTTTTTACATACTGCTAGCGATGTGCTCTAACTTGTGAAAATCAATATTTGATTACAGGGTTCTCATTAGACCACATCCTGCTATTTGGCGTTTAGTTCATGGAATGGCTGTCATTTACCTTGTAGCTCTCACATTTTTACTTTTCCAGGTTTGTTGTTTTTTAAAGCTGTCTTTTTTCATGTGTTAGTATTTTCATGTATGTATGAGTATATACATCTATATGTGTCTATTTATTTATCTGTGTCTTGTCTGTAAGCTTGAACACTGGAGTATTATTCTTGACTTTGTTTTTTTTTGTGCACTATCTAATTTTTTTGTTTGGTTGGCATTCTTGAAATCTCAAATCATATTAATGGGATAAACTCAGGTGCCATCATAAATTTACACTCTATATATAACTGAATCATGTATAAAATCATAGACCACTGAATGAGTTCTGCTCTGCTTATCTTTCTCTTATGCTGATTTTGAAATTGAATCAATAATTACCGACAGTGGCTTTCATTTTCTCGCAGAAGCGTGATGATGCTCGTCAGTTCATGAAGTTTCTCCATCCTGATCTTGGTGTTGGTAATACTTTGGAGCTCAACAATAATACTTTTTTGGCTTTTTCCTTTTTATTTTCATTATTACAATTGTAATGCATTTGAAATCTTTGGTAAAGGTTTTTTTATGAGATTGGCTAGGCTTATTGATTGCATAAATGAGATTCTTAATATTCATTTGCATGACTTGATGCAGAACTTCCAGAAAGGTCATATGGTGCTGATTGTCGCATTTATGTGCCCGAAAACCCCACGAGCAGGTTTAAGAATGTTTATGTATGAAATTCTTCTTTCACAGACTGTCTACCCTCATTTTTCTCCTTTTGGCTGTTTTTATGGCATTGGTATTTTTCATTGCAATAGACAATCACCTCAGACGTCTGATTTAATTGGTTCTGTGTAGGAAACACTTTTTGATGAATTTGTTCTAGCACATATTTTTGGATGGTGGGGAAAGGCTATATTGCTCCGTAATCAGCCACTTCTATGGGTTCTGTCAATTGGATTTGAGTTGATGGAGGTCAGTGTGTTGACTTTAAACTCATGTAGTTTGTTCTGGTGTTCCCTTTTATGCATGGGATGGGTTTTCTGCTGTTGTGTGTCCCTCTTAAGCTTGTGCACTATTATTAAAGTTAAGGTCGCTAATTGTTTGTCATATTATCTTTCTTCTTGTCATTTTTCAGTTTACTTTCCGCCACATGTTACCGAACTTCAATGAATGCTGGTGGGACAGTATAATTCTGGACATTTTGATCTGCAATTGGTTTGGTGAGATTGCTTTGGCCCTTCTTTTTATTTAAAATTATAATCATTGTTGGGTTTTTGTGTGCATGTTTTGTACTTTTTATGTTGACAAACTTTCATACGAGGGAAAAAATTGTGTTTTGGTTGTGAGTTCAGAAGTGGTTGCCATACATGATTGTGAAATTCATGCTGGTATCAGTGCTGTAGTTTTAACTGTCAAGCTTTTGTTGGGTGAGGACCTGTGTCTTCGATTAGTTATTTGTAATGCATTCAAAGGTTATATGGAGAAAAAGGTCATATATACTCTTGATTGCTCGATAATGCTGGTATCATTTCCTGCAGCTTATCATTTATTGTTTATATGGCTTGATATAGGTTATTCATGTACTTCAATTTTTTCCGAGGAAAGTTTTGAATTATTGTTTCAATCAATTGTGACAAGTTTCATTTGGTAAACTTTGCAGGCATCTGGGCGGGAATGCATACTGTTAGGTACTTTGATGGGAAAACATATGAGTGGGTTGGTATAAGCCGCCAGCCTAATATCTTTGGGAAGGTATGTTTTGAACTTCTTAATATTAAATGATTAGTGGGATTACTATTGTTTTAAAGACATATCTGGCTTGCAAGTGAAACATCAGCATTTTGGCTTTGAGCATAATGGTACCATGGTAACATATTTGAGAACTGAGCCCAGTTCTACTTCGAGGCGTGGTATCATTTGCAGATTGTATCATTAATAACATAGACTTCCTTAATCAGAACTGTAAACCAATCAGGTTTCCTTTTGTCTCTCTGTAAAAGTGGCTTATAGTGGTTCATAAGTAAACCTGATGATTGCTGATATGTTACTAATGTAAAATCATTTTGGCAGATTTAAGAGCCCAATTGTTAATTTAAAATCATTTTGGCAGATTTAAGAGCCCAATTGTTAATTTGTGTCAATTACAAAGTGATTTGACAAGATTTATTTCTCTTCCCTTTTCTGAGGAACAGCATTTTTCTATGCATGATCTATGTGGGTTGTGTGTTAAACTTAAAGCTAGTGCTCACAATATTTATTTTGAACTCTAGCCTCCTTTAAAGTTGAACACATTTTTGTCAATTTATTTTTTTACTTCTGTGCTAGCACTCATCTCAATGTTTAACTTTTATATTACTGTGTCACCTTAACTATTAAAATTTATATGAAAATTGATGATATTGATTGTTTATCAGTTTAAACGAACGTTGGGACAATTTACACCAGCACAGTGGGATAAAGATGAATGGCACCCATTGCTTGGTCCATGGCGGTTTATTCAAGTTCTCAGTCTTTGCATTGTCTTCTTGACGGTTGAGCTTAACACCTTTTTCCTAAAGTTTTGTCTTTGGATTCCTCCTCGAAACCCTGTGATCATTTATAGATTGATCTTGTGGTGGCTAATCGCAATACCAACAATTCGTGAGTACAATACATACCTCCAAGACAGGTATGCTTCTTCACTGTCTCTGTATCTCTCTCTCTCTCTCTCTCTCTCTCTGTGTGTGTGTGTGTGTGTGTGTGTGTATGTGCATTCACTTGTGCATGCTTGACATTGATTAAATATTATCAAATTTCCAGAAAACCAGTGAAGAAGGTTGGAGCATTTTGTTGGCTTTCCCTTGCTATTTGCATTATTGAACTTCTAATTTGCATCAAGTTTGGACATGGTAGGTTTTCTCACTTTATCAACTAAGAGATTTGGTTTCAAGTTAATCTCATTTCACCAACTTTTATGGTATTGTTGAACTGATGCTTCAATTTTTTATTGTAATGTCTAACAGGCCTGTACCCTAAGTCTATGCCTTTATGGTTGGTAATGTTCTGGACATCTGTTGGAGTGGTTCTAGGAACGTTCTTGATTTTGTGGTCATACAAGAGTTTGTGTAGAAAGAGACGATGATTTTGGCCATGTGGTACATTATTCTTTGATTTCTTCGTGCTCTTATGGGTATTCATCGGGTGTTGTAAATACCTCTCTTTATAAGTTGTAAATGGTTATTCCCTTAGGTTAGTGGATCACAGTTTCTTGAGCAGAGAATATTAATTATTTCTTGTTAGGTAGTGGGAAATGCTTCTAACATCAAGCTCTTGAGTCGTAGTTTGCCAATATTTTCAATTGGCAATTTTTTATCTAGTCATTTTTTAATTTTACCTGTATTTTTCCTTCTTCCAGTGCAGTTTATTTCATCTCAATTTATTCAGTGCATATGCCAATGTTGCACTTGAATGTCATAGCAAATGGTGAAGCCATTTTTCTGTTATGTAATACTTATCGAAGCATAAACCTTCTATGTTATACAACCCTGATCTTACTTTTCATGTTGCTTTCCCTGTTTCCGGAAGTTGTTTTGGTTTGTATACTATTGATCAGAACATCCTTCAAAATTGAGAAGAAACAACAAATATTTAGTAGTATGTTCATGCAAATGCATTGTGAAGAGTTGATGAAGAACACAATTCTTGTTCTTCCTATTTTTCACTTTTATTCATGTTGATAGGCATTTAAATAGGCTAAATGCTAGTAGGAAGTTTCAACAGAGTTATGCTTGAACTTGACGTCTGTTCAATCAATGAGCAAGTTCTTGATAAATTTTGCTTGACTTGTTCATCGTGTACAGCTTGTGGTTTAGGATTTAGGAACTGTTAATAGTGTTACTAGACTCAACTTATTACAACAATTAATTTCTATGGTACAAACTTGCTGACACGGAAACAGAGGTAATCGCTAGAACTTCTCAATTTAGAGCCATTTCTCACAATCACCGCCTCACCTTTTTGACCCACTTATTTCGGCAACAATCCATGACTGCTTGTGTTCTGTCACCTTTATTTCAATCTTCCTTGAGCTTGACAGGAATACTGGAGCGGACCCCTGAAAAAATTCTGGGGACAGAGGCAGATCCACTAGTGCCCTTACAGATAAAATTATTTCAAGGCACATCATAATGGACCGACCCCCTTCCTTGCTAAACCCCTTGTAGTAATCTTTTTATTAAATGCTAAGCTGAAAATGGCATGGGTGGCAGCTTCTCTTTCCAGGTTGTTCTACCTCTAACAATCTCCTGATATTCAGTCTGGAGAAGATGTGTATATCTCAATGGACCCTTTTCAAAGGAACCGATGAGTCCGGCGCCATTGACGATTTCAGATGCCAGAGAAAATCCATTGAGTAGAGTGATTCTGCTGTCTTGTTTCACCCCTTCTTTTAGGATCCCATCTTCATCAGGTTGGCAAAGAGCTTGAACTTTATCTGAACCTCCGCATTCCCTTCTGTATTCCAGTATAATACCAGATAGCTGATGAGTCTCCAGGAACTGGTCAGGGATAGTCTGTCCATGGAAACAAATCCAATTAAAATAGAGGGGAAAAAAAAAAAAAAAACCGTTGAAATAAGGATGATCCCGGGGATAACATTACCGGATGGGTTCTAGGGTCTTACCTCGAGCATCCATCTGACATACTTTACATTGTTGACATGGTGGTTCATGTCCAGATCACTTCTCTTAGGCTGCAAAATGAGGATTTGACATTAGTGAATATGTAAATGTGTGTTTAGCTGTGGAATGAGCTGGTGATGTTAATAAACTTTACCTTCAAGTCAGAGTTCACATATTTAGCTTTATTATCCAACTTGAGAATTTTCTCAGGAACATCTTCTTGGATTGCTTGCTTATCTATAAACCAAGGTGAGATCTCAGCTCTAACCTCTTCTGGCATTTTTGAGAGACGCCTTGTCGCCTCATTCATCATCACCCAAGTGCTGTTTCATGTTTAAGTTGTTAGCAAGATCATCGATGTGTTTATTCAGGAATGTATTTAGCAGAAGTTCAAGCATACCTTGTAGCGCGAGCGAAAATGTGACCTGTGGTTTGACTTCGGATCAACCAGTCTCGACGCATTCCATTCTTTCCGGATGCTCCAACCCATGTGTCGATTTCTACTACCTCTCCCCTGCAAGATATAGATGTTCTTAGCTTTTTTATGTAATCTAGAATTCTATTGAACTTGGTTTGCGAACCCCAATTTCAAGACTAAAGTCCTTATTAAACCAAAAACCTCAATTTCTACGAATTTTGATGCTAGGAAGAGTCCTGATTACTTTTGGTAGAAGTGCTTCTGCTCAATAAATTCTTTCTAGTAGAGAATTTCCAATAAATTTACTATAATTCTAGATAATTCCTTTGAATAATGATATGGTTTTTATAGCCGGTTTATGCCTGTGTGAAAATGACAAAAACTTTGTTGAAGTTGAGTTGTAATTGATGGCGACAAATTGATAATAATAAGACTTACCAAACTGGATAATGATCAACTTGAACTTGCATCCTTGAGACAACCCATATGAGATTGTTCCTCATCATTCCATGTGTTGCTCCAAATCCATTACTTAGTAGTCCTGACATCCATACATGATTCAATGCTGTTTCCTACATAAACAAATTCTTCTCAGAATCCTGGAAATAAAAAAAATTCTCGATACCCATTATACTTTTTGAAGAGCCTTTCTTATGTGTATGCACAATATACTTTCGGACGTCTGCACGAGAGAAAGACTGCAGAATAGTTTTGATCATTACCTGGAAAAGATTAAGGAGGCTCTCAAGAGTTGCAGTTTTATCAGGGCCAACCTCATAAGATCGAATAACAACAGTTTGCCTGTAGCCAACTCCTCCTTCAATGATGAGTCCCTGACGATGAGGATCAACAAACCGCTTGGCTGTAGGAATATTTTGGCGAACATGAACTTCTGGCATGCAAGCTTTATCTGCAACAACAGAAGCCAAAGAAGTGCTTGCAACTCCAGCTTTGTGGCGCAGCAACTCCACTTTACTTCGAGAACTCCTGTCATATTTGACACAGTTCAGCGTCTGCATATGAGGCTCATGGCTATTAATATTTCCAGAAGAAGAAGAAGAAGAAGAAGAACAGTTAACATGATAAAAAATTACACGAAGATAAGCAGCCATTTATTTATTATATGTTTTTTGCTGCTGAAGATGTGCAAAGTTTGAAACAGAGAAATGGGCAGGCAAAGGCTTAAATAAGAGAGAGATGGACGGTTTTCTCAAAGAAAATATTAAAAGTTTGGGGAGAAAATAAGAGAGTTTCTAGTGAAGTTGTATAAAATCAAGAGAGTTGGTGTTGTTTTGAAGCAGAAAATTGTGGTAGAGGGATCTTCGTTTTGATCGACAAGCCAAAGAAGAAAGCGAGAGAATGAAAAGAACAAAGAGTTGGGTGAAGAGTTTTCTTGAATGGCAATATGACATGTCTTGTAGCTGCAAGAAGAAACAAAAAGAGATTGAATTATAAATTATTCTGAGAGTGATAGACAAGGGAGAATTCTCCCTTTTCTGTGAATTAGAGTCTGTTAAGTTTTTGTTAAGTAGATTCTTTACCTCAACTATTCTCACTGTTTTTTGTATGCTTCTGAAGTTCCCCAGTCTCCCCATTGATTTTTCCCAGGAAAATTTTTGGGCAGTGGTGTTGTAGAGAGGCTCTTAATTTGTTAGGGAAATGACTTTTCTTATAACATTGTAGTAATGTTTCGTATATAAAGTTGGGATTCTAATGCGATCATGAATATGATTGGGTGTGGACGGTACTCGATCCTCCAGATTTTTAGGGGTCGTCAGGACACATCAAACACTATGTAACATGCATTGCTCTTTTAAATGTTGAACCTTAATTATATAAACTCTTCCTAATTGATGATCCATAAGTACATCATTAATTATACGAATGAATAGTAATTATAACATCGTCTTACAATTAATAGGATATTGTCAAGACAACAATAACATTACTTTAGATGCGGATATCAACATGGAAATGTATCAGTAATTACATTATCTTACAATTAGTAAGGTGTTGTCACATCAAGTATCATATTAGTTTGAATACAAACTTGGTATCTTAACTTTGTAATTATCGCCTTCTCTTATAATCTTTCATCTTATGTGACATTGACGCATGATATTAAGGATGGCATAACATTCAGAATTCAGCGCAGATCATAAAACTTCAATAACTTAAGTTGTGAATAGTGGTCAAGATAAACTATGACAAGATCAAGAAAATGATCACATCTTGAGTTCCAATGAAATCTAACTTATGAAGTAATTTGATCATCTCCAAACACTCTCCAGCAAAAAAGAGTGGCTTCTGTCTGTCTTTGAATAAGGTTAAATCTTGGCCCTGATTACTTAACAAACTATGCTTCATTATTTATTGGTGCATAGGCATTATTGTATATGGCGACTGATCACATTGTAAAAGAAACATGCTTTGGCCTGAGAGGGGACAAATGGTAAAAATCAAGGTATCAATGAGAGGGGACAAATGATCTCAGACTTCTGTGTGAGACAAACATTTCTGGGAACTTTTCTAGTGAATAGAGAACTTGATTGTTACTTAAACAATTACCAACTGTTGCTGCTAAATCGATGTTTGATATTTTCTATACTGAGTTTAAACTTAGTTATTCCCGGTATGATATTAGAAGCTGACAAAGAGTCAATTACCACTCAAGTAAATTCAGCCTCAAACCTGAACTCTAATTTTTGCAGGTTAGAATTGTCATATCCCACATCGCAATGGGCCAAGGATTTAGTTTATAAAGTTTAGGTTCAAAGCGGACAAATTCTATATGATTGGATCTGAGACGTGACAATTGGTATCATAGTGGGCTTGTTACACAATGTGGCGGGTGTAACGACCTCACGAGAATGCGAGGTTCATAATGTATGGAGTTTGTCACATCCCACATCGCAATAAGCTTGTTCAATTTACAAGGCTTGAACCTAAAATAGACAATTTCTATTTACTAGACGTGGGATGTGACAAGATAGTGTATATAAAACCCATAGGTCTAGCTTTTCTGGATGCTACAAATACACAGATAGTCTTCAGACAATTGAATGCTAATTTTGACTTACAAATAGCTTCACGAGCATGTGTGTAATGTAAATTTGAACATCAAGATTTAGTTCCTTAGCACTGCATGAGTTCTAAACTATTATATGCATTGTGAGGGTAAATTCACATATTTAAAGTTTTATATAGAGTAAGCGACTTTCCCACCCAAGGTTTGCCTTAATGACACTTTTCCACCCAAAGTTAATATTCCGTTACTATCCAAAGCCGATCCTAGTCGATTCTGATGGCGAAAATTCTATCTGTCACCATCATTTGAACCTCCGGTCTCCTCTCTACAAAATCTCTTTCACTCCAACACTTGATTTCTCGCCGATTGCCAGCCACTGCAAAGCTAGTGTTTTCTATTTTTAGGTGATTTTTGACTGATTCCGACGACGAATATTCGATCGGTCACCACCATTCAATCCATCGGCCTTCACTCTACAAAAGCCCTCTTACCCTAGCTCTTGGTAACTCACTAAATGCCGTCTAAGAAAGTGAAGTGTATTTTGGGTATCAACAGAATATAAACGTTGGGTAAAAAAGTGATATTTTGAAACTTTTTGGTTGGAAAAGTGTCATTAAGGCAAACCTTGGGTGGGAAAAAGTCGTTTACTCTTTTATATATTCTATATAAATGGGAGGACCTTCACGTGTGTACTGTAAATTTCAACATTAGGATTCAGTTCTTTACAGCCGTTTGAATTCTAAATAATATATGCCTTGTGGGTATTTACATGTGTTTAGAGTTTTATATATCCTCTATAATACGTGTCTTGTGAGATAGATATACGTAGTTTGAATCTCCACGACTACTAATAATGGGTAACCATTAGAGCTTTACGTGGCGGTTAACTTCAGGGTTCTGGGAAACTAGTTGAGGTGCGCGCAAGCTGACTTGGACACCCCCAAATACCAAAAAAAAAAAAAAAAAAAAAAAGATAGATATACGTATTCATGATTAACCACGTCAGGTATAAGAAACAACATGAATATAACAGGTGTATTTGCCTCAGGAATTGTGAGATTTGAGAAACAAAAAGTAGAAAAGAAAAAGTAAGGTACAGGGGAATGAATACAAAGTGCTGGTGAAGAACCTTATGGGATTTGGAATAACAGCTTCTGCCAATCATTTTGTTAGATTTTCAACGTTGTTAGCAATAACCACTGGAAAAGCTAGCAGACACAGAGGAGTTCTCAATTCTAACCTTGTTTCCATCCATTGAAAGAAAAGACAATGGTAAGAGGAAAAGAACAAGGCAGTCACAAAACAAGATGTGAAATTAACTCCTAAGAAAATGACAAACAGAGAGAAAGCAATGGATTTTAATTGAACATTATATGATGGAGATGCCTATGCTGTTCATTCACTTTAAATTGCATTTTGTTCATTCACTCAATCTACAGCATTTGCTCTTTCATGCTGACATTGAAGTTACTCCCTTTGTTTTCACATTTTATCATCTCTTTCTTCTTCTGGGCAGTGTAGTTTCCAGAGATGGCAATAGTCCTGAAGCACCTCAATTAAGAGAGTTCCCATGGCCTTGTATAGTTGAAACAATACAGACAGGTAATGAAACCTTGTTTGCATGATTCTATGCTGAAGGATCTATTTACCCTGAAAATGTAATTTTTTTTTCTTTTTTCTATTAGAAGAAGCATATAAGTAGTATTAATTGAAATAATTATGAAACAGTGAGCAAGATGTCGACAAAAGCTAAAGATCAGTTTGAATGATCACATAACTATGTACAGTAAAAAAAATGCATCTAAGTGAGTAAGAAAAAAGAAGTATCCTGAAAAACTTTAGAGAGTAATGGCCCGTAGAGGAGAAAGTAAACAAATTCCGTCCCACAGAATAGGTATGTCTTCTTCATGTCTATCTTCGAAGATCCTTTTGTTTCTTTCTTGCCAAACCAGTCGTAAAGTCGATAAAAAATAGGAAAATTCCAGAACACTTTGGCCTGAAAATTAATGTCCACCGCATAACATTCAATGCGAAATTGCTATGCTATTTGAGGATCAAGAACTTAGAACCAGTCTTGTATGTAGCTGCCTCCTCCTCTTTACATAACAAATGAACAGAAACCGGTTCCAGAAGAGAAAAATCACACAAGTATTTCATCTCCCTGTAGAAGTACTTTTACGTCATAATGTATTAACACCATGCCTTGCACCAAACATTTGGGTCAGCAACAGAAGTTCCTTCTATTTTTAATTCCAATATTCTGTCTATATCATTACTGTTTCAGGCCAACATTGAGGTTATACCCTTTCATTCTCACATTTTCCCCTAATCTTTTTGTTCTTTTAGGCAAAGGGTGTCCGGAGATGATAACAACAGCCTCGCTGAGAAAGCTCCCATGGCCTTGTATCGTTGAAACAATAGAGAAAGGTAATGAGAATTTGGTTACAAAGCAAAGATCTACATACCCTCAAAATCCATTCATCAAAATAACAAAATGGTACAATTTCTTCTCATGCTACATCTGGTTTATAACCAAACGCCAACTTCGTGAACAGATTAACAAGCAGCAGTCAGGCAATGCAAAATAAAGAGATCACCTTTAATGTAGTGTTGATGCAAGAATTACACCAACTAGAGTGATCTGATCGACCTTGTCAGGACCAGAACTGATGTGTGCGTGATTGCGGGTAACCAGCAATGAGTAAATAATAAATGCAGTAAAGTAAATGATAAAGAGATTTTTAAAGTGGTTTGGCGAGTTGAACTCTTGAGCCTACGTCCACTGTTTTTGTATTTGCTGTGAGAGCTTACAATGATAGTCGTAGAATAATAATAGTCCTAGAATAATTTCCTAACCCATTTCGCCTCGTTGGAAGGGTTTATATACAAGTTTTGTACAAAGAAAAGAGCAAAAATAAAGGGATTACAATAAAGTTTGAAATGCAACTTTGATATTCTCACGATTAGGCGTTGTGATCATGCAAAGATTGCCGTCAATTTGATCTTTCCCAAGATTTTGGGATCTGAAGTTATCTGTGAATTGGTTGAATAACTGTAAGGATTGGTCGCGACTAGCTTATGCTAGGTTGAGCTATAACTCGATGAGCTTATGCTGGGTTATCAATCAGTAGAGTCTAGCTGGTTCTGAATTGGGCTATAACCTCATAATACTCCAAGCTTAGGGGAAGAATCACATACAACATCTGCCCTAGTGTTT